GGGGGGGGGGGGGGGGGGGGGGGGGGGGGGGGGGGGGGGGGGGGGGGGGGGCAACTTAAGGCAACTTGGAAAGCTAAGAAACATGAGGCGCTATTCCCATGCGTGGAAAATACATACCTTGTTATTCTTTGTTATTTTTTTTTATTCTTTGTCATGTGTTACCGTGTGATATATACCCTGTGTTACCTTGATGTACCTTGTGCTACCTTGTGATTTGCGATGCTTTGTCATGTTTTTTCATGTTTTCACTCGTGAGTGAGAGAGAATTCGAGAATGAGAATCACAGATTTATGGTACCGAATCCCTCGTCTTCAAGATGGCGGCACTTCGGTGACGGCAATCAAGCCAGAATCTTACTGGATCTTACTAAAATACCATCAATGAGCACAGACATAACAAAGCGGGGAGCTCGAGGAGACGGCTTCGAATAATCGCCTAGCAACGGATACTTGAGCCCTCGTGACTTCAACTCGTGACTCTTGCGTGAAATGGCGTAATAATTAGTACAACAGAATAACATGCTGCAATGTGCTTGGAGGAATTTCGTCTCCGTAATTTCAGGCTGACTTATCCAAATGGCAAAGATTTTGCTGTATCTCCGGTGAGTGATTTGTTATTAGTGATCCTTGTGATCGGAGTCAAGAAACTTCCTGAGAAACTCTGACAAAATCTGTTCGGTTTTTGGCGAAACAAGGCCCCGCTTCAGGTCAAATTACCGCAAAATTTGAACCTGTTAAATTCAGTTTGTGAACTTCAAGGCAAACACGGATTTGCTGTTCGCTATTTTCATGTTTTTCTTTTGAGCTTTCGTCAAGGGATCATGTTGTCTACTGAAGGAAATTATTGTCCGTTGTATTTGTCGGCGATTATTTCTTTACTAACCGTGAACGAGTTGTCGTAATTTAGAGTTATGTTATTGACGGAAAAGACGGTGATGCAGTTTTTTTTTTATACGGCAACGACTGAACTGGGGCCCTGAATGTTTAAACGGGTGCAGTATATTAATTAGTTTTCGTTTCGTTTGCCGGTGTCACGCATGCTGGTGGCACACGCAAGTTGTAAAATGAGTGAGTCACGCAATCCTTTCACGTCGCGCAGACGCCACAGTTTGAGCACAATCAGGATTTCGGCAAGGGTAATGATTTAAAAAATAATAATAATAAATAGCCTTGCTTTGTCAAACTATATGGATTCCAGTTCAATAGTGGGGAAGGCTTTGTTATATTTTTAATTCCATGCCTGCTTCTGAACTTACACCTCCTTGTGAAATGTTCTTTTCATTCACAGTTGATTAGTTTAAAAATCTTAAAAGACAGAAACAAGAGGTCTCTCATAGTGATTTAAGTTTGATATTTATATAGATTTTTACTAGTATAAGGTATGCTTAGGATAACTATTTGCATATAATACTTAGCTAATTTATGAGCATCATTTATTCAACCCTAATCAGGGGAGTAGCCAGGATTTTTCAAAGGGGGGGTCACACACTGTGTCAAAATGAGGGTACTCATGAATTGTGATGTCATTTTTGCCACCTGTTGTAGGTTGTTTGCTTAAAGAAGGCTTACAAAAGGGAGGTCACAGGCACCCCAGGACCCCTTAGCTACGCCCCTGCTAATACAATGGCACGAGGCTAAACGTTTGACCCCCAAGGTATCAGGCTGAAGAGAGTTCAACCTCGTTCCCAGGGTCTTTCTCCTTTGTCTCCTTTGTCTGACAAGATAGGAAAAGGAGAGAGCCTCGGATCGAACTTCTGAGGGATTACTCACAACAAATCCAACAAGCAATTAGACTGTTTTCAGCTCGTTTCTCTCTTGAAATTAATCTTTGCTGAAACGTTCATACTGCATCTTTTGCGAATGAGCTCATAAGGGATTAATGATGTTGACTCAACAAACTTTCAGTGGATGAAAGAAGGACAGCAAATGGTCTAGCTAGTGACGTCATCACCCTCCCAATTTCAGAATAAATGCATTTTTGTTTCCAGGGGAGCCTGTTCCTCTTAGGCCCCATTTATATGGTCTTGGTTACCTGAGACAACCCTCCCCCCAAGTTACCCTAGCTGAGGGAACTTTTCACCTATTTCTTTGCAAAATTCAACCAACCGTTTACAAGAGGACGCAAACACGTCTCGGGGGGCGAGACAACTCGAGTGGTCTTGCCTCGGCTGGTAGGGTAACTCTGGCAGGCAGGACAACTTTTCTTCATAAAAACACTTTGGCTCACTTAAGCGAGACAATTGTCAGTGTGGCGAGTGTCACGGAATGTCTAGATTTAGGATTTAAAGCAGAAATTTGTATCAAAGAAGTGAAAATTAGCTCCACAAAAGCCACTTTGATTGAATCATAGTTGATAAAGGAGAATGGTTATGAAGCCTGGCCAACATCAAAGGAGCAAACAAAGATGCCAAGATTTATGTTGGAAGGTCCATGACCATGCACAATCTTTTGTTTTTCGTTCATACACTATGCATGAGTTATGTAATCAAAACATTTCTGTTGGTTAGTTCCTCAGTCAGTAGTAAACAACTACTGTGTTTTGTGCATGGTCAAGGCCAAAAAAGAGAACAAAGACATACAACAAAGAACTTTGTCGAGTTCCATAACCATTCCCCTCTATTAAATATGATTGAACAACCGAGGAAAACTCAAAGAAAGAGGGGTATTTGCACATTTGATCATTCAATAACGGTTGTGAATAATCATGCGGGGTCAATTTTGACTCGGACCACAAAGACACTGTTTTCACATATGAATGCTTGATAAAGTTGCCTCAGGGGGAGGGTTTTCTCAGGTACCCAAGACCATACAACTGGGGCCTTAGCCACTGGGGCCCTGAGATGAGAAGAAAGTGGCTTTGGAGACACATTATTTCATATGGTTGTATTCTTGGACTAGAATTCTCTCTTATTCTCTGGTTTCTATTCCCCAAAAACTTGGCTGGTCGATATCTGACTAAAACCGTTCCGTGACAGCACCTACTAACCGTCACAAAATTTGAAACAGGCTTTTACGCTTACAAAGAGACTTTTCAGTGAAGTCCTCCACAACAAAGCTTATTATATGGCTAGCTCTGTGAGCGGGCAAGATGAATCAAATCCTGCACTGTGATTGGCTACCCNTCGGTCCATAAACACGCAAAAAAAGAACTTGGCCAATATCCAGCCATCTTGACCTCACACTTGGTCAATAACCCATACATAGTAGTATCACATTCGGCCAAAAGTTTACTCCTGTCTAACATTCCCTTTGTTTGGTGCTGTGTACATGTAACCGAACAATTTTTGGTTTAAGATCAACCAGTGGATAGTTTTGGGAATGAAACAAGCAGTGAATTAGTGAATCTTAGTCCAAGAATCTAGCCAATCAAATCATTTGTTTCTAGAACCCCTCATGCCAAGACCCTGCCAGCTAAAAGGGACTAGTAGCTCTGGGACGGAGAATGAGGATTAGAGCCCAAACTACGCAGTCACACTCAGACTTGACGCAGTCGCTATTTACTTGATTTGGGGGAAGAGTTCAGAGCAGATAAACGTAATAAGCATGCGCAAGTTTTGGCTGTGCGCCAGGCTCCCAGTTTGAAAAAATGGCTTGAATTTTGTTGATCGGGTAAACAAAAAAAGTTACGAACTCTATATGCTTTCCCAATTTTCCAAAATTTCCCGGTAAACAGCAACATTTTAACATCAGTGATAGAAAGCTGGTGTACTGTTTTCGTGGGAAATTAATTTTTTTGGCACAGAATTAACATTAAATACCTCTTACCGAGTTCGAGGTCCGTACTGGGCCATAAATCGAAGGGGAAAAAACGAGGATCCGTAACTTACAGTACGGACCAAGAAGACGAGGTTAGTAAGATATTTATTATATCTCTACTATGTACCTGACGGGTTCGGAAACGATTTCTATTCACGCGGACTCGGAAAGGCTTAAATTTCTGACGCACCTTGAAAGCAAGACGAGTCAGTTTGAAACTGTTTTTAAGTCACTAGCACGCTTTATTACATAATTTAGAGTATGAGAAAGTTTTAAACATTTACATGCTATAAAAGTTAACAACAAGAACACCTATCGGTAAATCACGAAACAGTTTGGCAACAAAACCAACTTTAAATTTTAGCGGGCCGTACAGGAGAGTACGGCCCGCTAAATTGACCAATCACAACGCGCGTACTAACTGAGAGATATAATAACGTTTACGAACCCTTTATCTCCAAGTGGTATACAATGAATTTCGGTGTGAAGACACATTTTATCCACAGACACTCTTTACATGTTGCATCCAAATAAGCAAACCACTGAAATATATAAGCAAGAGAGGTTTTCAGCAGGCAAGGGGAGCCTTGTTTTGTTAACAGTGAAATGCCAAAAAAATCAACCGAATGACGTCCTCCTGTCCGCCGTTCTTTCCACCATTGCAGGACCATTCTACATTATTACCTGAGCCCGCAAGCAGGGCTAGGGGTGCGCAGAAACGCAGTACGTTTTTCCGCTCTGAAGGGGAAGAGAAGATTGAATACTTGGACTCGCGCGCCACTCGATCCAGGCCGCTCTCTCTTGGAAACAATCCAATCTGACCCATAAATAGCGACTGGGTACGAGTATAGGTCACACTCCATACCTTACCCTCATGCGCAAATCTTCTGAAAGACATGAGGTTCTCATGTCTTTCAGGAGACTTGCGCGCGAGGACAAGGTATAGAGACTGATTGAAAGTAGGGAAGAGGAGAGGCTCAGAGAACAAGGGACTTTTCCATTTACATAAAAAACCGGAAATGTCGAGGAATTCCGATTCTTCGGGAATATATTCTGCTTGACGTTTCTCCGAAGAACACGCCTTGTTAATTGTGGTGCGAAATTCTGCATAGTCTTGAAAGGCGAAAGGCCTGTAACTAGTGCAAAAGATGCAAAACGATAAACCGAACTGTTTATTGTAGGGTCTGTTGTAGGAGCCAGTGGTCACCCTACCATGCAAAAGCTACGCAATTCACGTACATATTGGGTTTCTTGTGGGCGTTTCATTGCTCAAAACAACAAAAACGTTCCGGTTTGAAAATTGCAGTTCCATTTGTTTTTGGAGTCAAACAGGAGGCGGGAATTTTTGGTTGAATAAAAAGCAGTCTGATTTTCTGGAAACTTTCCAAGGAAATTTCCCTACCATTTACTTTCGTTGCATTGTTTATGTTTACACTGCTCCCCATTCCACTCACGGTGCTTTGTCGTGCCCGGAGGCCGTGCTCCTTTTGGTCAACACCAGTAATCGCGACCTCTGGGCCGGTCCAACACCGGAAGTCCGCGATTCTCGGACTTCACATCAAACAAATCTGATTGGTTGAGAATACGAAACGAATACTCTGCGCCTGCTCACAAAATCCGGTCAGGGAAGAGGTCGCGATTCTTGCTGCTGACCAAAAGGAGCGCGGCCTCTGGCGACGAGAATATTCACGGTGCCCGTTGTATTTGGTCATCGCGCCGGCGCAGACTAGTCTGCAAGTGCTCTCACCAGTGTTTAACTCGAATTTTTCTTATTTCTGCAGTGGCTTCCTCTGCCATTCGTAATAGGGTATCGATTGCTATTTACCATTTACTGTTGCGGCTGGATAGTTTACAGCATCGTCTCTGCAAGCACTTGGAAATGGTTAATTTATCTGACAGACTGGACTTTCCTATGCGTGACCACTTACTTTGTTTGCAGCTCTGTGATATCTATCGTGTACTTGGTAGATTGCCGTGGCAACGGAACGAATTTTGAGCAAGGTCGAGAACGCGCTCCAGACGAGAGAGCATCACCAGTGAGACACACCGCACCCGGACAATCACGGAAATCCCTTGAGGGCTTATTAGAGGAACAGTACTATGATGCTTGTGAGGATACTGATCAAATTGCAGCCTTAGAACGAGCGCAAAATGCGGTGCGAGAAAATGCTGATTTTTCAACACGCGTACCCCACGCGGACTATTCTCAAACTTTGTGCCACAAAGTTGCATGGTTTTTCTACATAATTGCTTCTAATAATTCTTTTATGGTGACGATAGTGTATTGGAGCTTTTTGTATAACGGCTTCAAGATCGGAGAGGCCGATGTATCTTTCCACCTGTTAAACTCGGTTTTCATGCTAACAGAAACCTGTTTAAGTGCCGTTCCTGTGCGGCTTTTGCATTTAGTTTATGCAGAGCTGTATGGAGTTCTATACTTGATCTTTACAGTGGTGTACTGGCTGAGTGGAGGCACTAATACCAATGGTGATAGCTTTATTTATCCAATTGTTGACTACAAGACTAAGCCTTATGACGCTGCTGGACTTATTATCATGTATGCACTGGTCGGTCTTCCAACGTGTCAATTGATCAATTTCGGATTGTTTAAATTGCGCTCCTATTTACACAGCTTGAGGAGCAGTAGATAAAGATTATAGTAGATAAAGACGATGGTTTTTATTTTTTTTTTAATTTCTTTTTTAATAGTTTTTATTGATTTTCAAAATGAGGTAACAAATAACAAATTACATTTGTCAAAATATATAGACAACAACAGCAACAACCACTCGCAAAACAAAATAAATAAATATAAGTGAAATCAAAAGAAAATGCGATACTACTGAGTAAATGCGTAAGGAGCTTGTTTTTCTACCTGGCAATATGAAGCTCGATATTGTATACACGCCTTGTTCTAGCTATAAAGCCTTTTTTACAGTATGGTTTATGGGTGAAAACAGAAGTGGATTTATTTGATTCACAAGATGGTAGGAGGGTGTTGAGTAAATGGTGGAAGCCTGCGAACAGGCTCCCGGCGAGGACGGAAAGTGAACAGAAAACGAGCGCGAAACTGACAAATTCGGAGAGCGAAGCGATCGGGCTGGAGCAAGGTGTTTTTTCCGCGCACGCCGGGAACCTTTTTGCAGGCTAAAATGGTGGCGGCTGGATAAAAAAGCGAAACCCGAGGATATTTTCCTAAGCCCTTCGGCCTGACTATTCACCGAAAAAATCTCTTTATTAAATGGAATCAGAATCGAACGAACCGTACATAGGGTGCTTATTTTGCAACAAATCATGGGCTTAATAAACATTAGGCTTCTATCGATATACTAAAATTCACCTTGAGAGCAAGACGTAGACGACACAAAAAGGAGACGGGGTAGTGAGAGCGAGAGACCTCAGGCAAGATAATTTATGATAATGAAGACGACGACGACGACGATGATGACGACGACGACGACGATGATGATAATGATGATGATGATGACGATGATGATGACGATGATGATGATGACGATGACGATGACGATGACGATGATGATGATGTTGATGATGATGACGATGACGATGACGATGACTGACGACGATGACGATGACGATGACGATGACGATGATGATGATGATGATGAGGATGATGATGACGATGACGATGATGATGACGATGACGATGACGATGACGATGATGATGACGACGACGATGACGATGACTGACAATGATGACGATGACGATGACGATGACGATGATGATGACGACGATGACGATGACGACGACGATGATGATGATGACGATGACGATGACGATGACGATGATGATGATGATGATGATGATGTAGGTGCTGAATGTTACAGTTAATTACGATTTGGGGAAGCAAAATTCGTCTTACATAATAAAATGTAGCAGTCAATTCGAAACTTAACATTCCGACCAGAGCGATTCAACCCCCGGGCATTTGGCATCTTATATAAATTCTCGTTTGGTTTAATTCCATTTCCTTTGGCCAAATGCCCTACCGTAAGGTAGTAATGAGGCGATCAAATGCCCCTTACCCCTGGACCACGGGACATAGATGGCAGAAAATGGGTAATGGAGAGAATCAAATTCACTCACGAACACTCACTTTGGACTTCCACCATGTCCCAAATATTGTTTATGAATACCATTTAAAAATTCACCTTGAGACACACCACAAAGCCTTTGAAGGCCGTTATTTTCAAGCCACGGCGTTGCAAAGAAACGATGTTGTCGGTTGATGACTTCTGAACTTGACCATGGCTTCAAGGTAAACGAATTCCTTCTACCCTCTAATAGTGTCAAATGCCCACCGCAATCAACCACAAATGTCAACTGTCCCACCCCACAAGAAATTTATTTTGTCATTCGGGGCCTCGGAGGATGCCTTGATGTCTCTCCTTGATCGATACTCATACTTGACTCACCGTTTAAAACCAGACGTTTATTTGACAGTTCTTCTATCTGACAATCAACCATAAAAGTCAACGTAAAGAAACAATAAAAAAAAACGTGCAGGGGACTTGACCCCGAAAAAAAAAATCCCGTACAGGCAGTGGACGTTAAAAAAAAAAGAAAAAAAAATCTTGCAAGCAGAAAAAGTCCCACCCCCTATCACTTTTCTAATGGTCCGTCCCAAATATTTGATTACTACTAGTCTATTGTTTATACTTGTGCCAAGCGCGAGGAAGGTGTGATTTTTTCTTTTTGTATTTCACAGCAACAAATTTAAGGGTCTCAACAGTATTTGCTTTGTTCAAGTTAACCATTTATTGCTTTCTAAATCGTATGAAGAAACTTCCGCCGATCTACTTTTTGGTCGGGGCGAATCGACTTTTGGTCGGGGGGAACGACTTTTGGTGGGGGCGAATCGACTTTGAGTCGGGGTGAAACGACCTTGATTTGGGCGAAACGAATTTGAGTTGGGGCGAAACGACTTGGGGCGAAACGGACTTGAGGCGAAACGACCGTAATTCGTTCTTTCGTTTTGAAACTTTCCTTGCGACGTTCAAAGAGGTAAACTTACGTTTCTAATAAAGTGACAAAACTTTTTCTGTAACTTTTTTTCTCCACAAAGGCTCTCAGGCGTTGGAAAGGGTAATGTGACAAGGAAACTTCCCAAACTCTGTAGATTTCATGGCATCTAATAACATTTATACAGTTTTTCATGTGTTTGGTTGTTTCAAGTCTCAAGTTAGGTGACGCTGTTTACTTATTCGAAGTAGTTTCGTGGAATATCAGAACCGAAAAAAAAAAACCACGATCATTGCTTGCAACAGAATAAGACCATACTATTGCGTGACAATGTTATAATTAAATTGGCTCTTGTTATGAATGAATCAGAAAAATTATCCAGAATCAACAACAATCTGCCGTTTACCGTTAGCTACTAGTACTATTACAGACTGCATGATGTTTAGCTGTCTTGTTGGGAACAGTTACGTGTAGTTCCAATAAACAAAGTCATTGATCGATTCAGTTGAAATCAAACATTGATAAAAGTAGGCTTGATATCACATTTCCTAAGGCAAAACAAATTCTTAAGTTGTTTTCTATTTCACTTTTCATCGTAACCAAACAAAGTTGTTGGATTAGCACTATTACCAAGTGCTGCTACCTCCAGGGGCTTTTAATTCACCAAAAAAATAACTCTTGCACGCGTTGCGTGCCTATGTTTTATTCAAGGCCACTGTATGAGGCCGAGCATTTGAAGTTACGCTTACAACAAATCCAACCAGCAATTAGACTACTTTCAGCCCGTTTTTATCTTGAAATTAATCTGGCTCCTGCCGAAACGTTCATACCGCATCGTTCGCGAACACGCTCAAAGCAATACGATATCGGCTCAACTGCGCAGAAGGCTTGATGTTACCTCGACGACCGAGAGTTGACTGGTGTTGAAAACTTCAATTCACCTCTTGGTCGTTTCCATGTTTACTGGTTTCATTCACCTCAGGGATGAAGTAAACAGGACTGAGTTAGTTAATTTCTTACTTTTTACATTTTACATTCTCAGGTGAACCTTACTCAACCTGACGTTGGAAAAAAATTATCGCGTGACGATCAAATGGTGAACACGCTCGGCATGAGGGTAAAATTTCCGGTTAGGGTTTGTGACGTCAGAAGTCCTTTGAGCACCAAACAAAAGGACTATATTTGTTTGTCATCACTATGGTTGTTGTTTTTCCCATAAAGGTCAATTAGTTAACGCCCAAAACGTGACTTTTATGCTACTCGCCGGGGACAACACCGACGAGCAAAGTTGGCCGCAATGTGCCGCGAAGAGTTTCATTTGTCCCAGGCCAGTTTGCAGCATTCTGACGCTAAAGATTTCGTTCGATCGCCGGTGAGTTTTCAAAGGTTTAAAATATATAAAGGTTTTAAAAAGCGACAATCGTAACTATATTTCTGCGCATTAATCATACAGATGTATGTGTCAACTGTGTATGTTGACTGTGACCTTTTGCTCGTCTGCTGAGGTGTTTAATCTTAAAGTTTACGTTGAATCTCGTCGCAGTTCAAGGTGAGACGATGAGAAGAACATATTTACGAGCACAGTTCCCGTCAACACGGCATAGGTCGTCATAGTTGTGTTATCCGTCATGCTAAGTGGGTCACCGAATGATAATTCCTGATTCATGTTTTGAACAAAAAAGCGAAACAAAACAAACCATCTTATTCTTATTGTACTATAGTTTAATCATCGCTTAAACGTTATTTGACATGTCAGTTTTTCATGCGTCTGTCGTGTTATTGATCATTAATGCACCTATCAATGGTTTGCCCCAGAATGGGGGAGGGGGGGGGGGGGCANCAGAACATGTCATCATCAAGTGGGGTTATTGCACACACTTGGTGATACCATTTATCACAGGCATCACACTGTATCCACTCTACAGTTTCAGCTTCATCACCCTCTGCTGGGTCTTCTTGCTTACAGTAGCCACAAAGTAAAGTTACTCTTTGGTCCACTAGTTGTTCAGCTTGTGTGGTATATACTAAAATAATTATTCACCTCAGTGTCGGTGAAAGTGGTGGCTTGGTAAATATCCACCACTATTCACCTCCACTTCGGTGAAATAATTGTTAATTATTTTGTATTAAATTCAATAGTTCAAAGTTGCAATCCAATTTATGTCATCCAACTGATGTTAGTTGCTGTAATATGACAGCTGGCGTGTAATTAAGCAAAGATATTGCGGAATTCCAAGGCTATTTCATATTTTAAAATACATATGATTTTTCGATCTATTGCTGTGTTAAAAACTTGTTGCAGAGCACCTAGTGAAATCATGCTAAGTAGGATGAAATGTTCTGTGCAAATATTTCTTTCAAAATCCAACAGGAAGAAACACTATGTGTTACAAAACTTCAAGATAGATAACGGATGGGTGTTAAAAACAACAATTTTTACTTTAAAAGCGTCAAGATAATCCTTACCTTCCATTCTGCCATTGTGAAAAGCATAGTAAAAACGCGGGAAGCTCATCCAAATGACTTCTGGGCTTTTTCCAAGATGGCCGCTCGCTCCCAGGCCCTCTCCACTTCCCAAGATGGTGACAGAGTCAAATTTCCCACCCAGGGGGATCGCTGTAGATGTCAAAATCCCTACCCAGGTAGAGCCTTACAAAGTCAAATTCCCGTGGGTTGCCCACATACATACATACATACATACATACATACATA